ATTTAGGAATACTTAGATTACATTTAGGACATGATATTATACATATGCGCACCACCCGATATGACAATCCGATATTTAGTCCATGTCCCCATATATCCCCGCTTTCCGCTATCCGACATGGATTTCTGCCGTCCGACATGAACCCGACATCCGACATTTAAAACATTGATCAAATCCAAGTTCTCATATGAAAACATAAAAAATAAAACAATAACCTTAATAAAGCTAACATCGAACAATCGTATTTAGTTCCAACTACACTCAAAATATAAGACTTTCTCTGTCGTTACATCTTTGGTCATTAAAATTGTACTTTTTCAGGCACAATGCTGTCTTCTTACACAAGCTCTAGAAAATGGGGAGAATCTTCATAAAGTATGATTTCAAATCATGAGGAAACAGTGCCACTCATTTTTGCGTCTGCTGCTATTGTCATCTTTGAATCAGTCAATTTATGAATTTTGTTCCTCAAATTCTAGTAGCAGTATTTCTCGAACCAATCTAATTTGTGAGCAAACCAAATTAGATGCTTACTTCTGTTTTGCTATTATCTATGTTTGATTACTACTGCAGCTTGATTGATTCTCATTTTACGAATGTGTCAATGTACAAAATTTGCGCCCATGATTTTAGTGGCAGTGTTCTCTTGAACCCAACTAATTTGTGAGCAAACCAAATTTATGTGCTAACCTCTATTTTGTAATTATCTACGTTTGCTTGCTACTGCAGCTTGATTGATTCTCGTTTCATGATTTTATTTGCTCCTGTAATCTTCTCAATTTCTATCTAGGGTTAGGATTTTGGTAGAAGTGGAGAGGACTGGGAGGGAGCTCGGTAGAGAAATCAATCGAGAGAATAGAGTTTGAATCTAGATCGAATTTAGGGTTTCGGTGGAACTTGAGATAGAGGATCGAGAAGTTCTCACCGTTTTCGATGATCTCCGTCGTTGCCGGAGGTGAAATTTGGGCTTGCAGGTGAAACATGATCTCCTCCTCCTCCTCGCCGTCGCCACCGCCGGTGTTGAAACTGGATCTCCTCCTCGCCGTCGTTGTCGCCACCGCCGGTTGAGAGCGGTAGTGGGGAGGGAGAGAGATCGCGAGAACGGAAGTAGGGAGGGCGAGAGATTGCGAGAGCGGGGAGGGGGAGGTCGTGAGAGCGGAAGTGGGGAGAGAAGATGGAATTGCAAATGACAGCCCAATAGTTGGGATTTAGAATTAGGGGCTTAGTATAGATTTAAAATGTTAATGGATTTGGGCTAATATCCAGTATTCAAATTCTTTTGGATCCAAACAATAGAATTGGACCAAATACAACATTTGAAATGAAATCCTGGTTACCAAACAGGCTGTAAACGTTATTACCAATGATTGCAATAGTTCATGATATTTTTTTTACAGTTTTGAAAGTTCATGATAGTTTTCACTGATAAAAGAATTATGCTAATTTTTTTGCATAACCCCCAAACATCATGTCGGTTTTATGAAATTTACCCTAAATCCTTAGTAAAAACAAAGAAATGGGCCATTATCTTTTTGTAATATTCTCAGGTCTATCCTCTCTGGATCTGCCCTCATCGTCTCTTCAAGGTCCCAATGAAAACAATGGTATACCCTGAACCAGACTTCGAGCTCCACCAAAGGCAAGGAGACACAACCTACGCTCAAATGTACACTGACATTGGCATTTGGTACGCTCCTGCTTCGGTCCTCAGAGGCGAGGAATTCGACGGCACCGAAGCTATTCGCCAAATGGAAATGTGGCTTATCCAACAGCACGGGTTCCAAGCTCCATATGCGGTCTCTGAGCTCGCGGAGAAGAATTTCTGGAGAATGTTCGACGGCAGGCTCTATGAGCATTGTAGGAAGAAGTATGGAGCTGTTGGGACTTTTATGAGTGTTTATTACAAGTCGAAGAAAGGGAAGAAGAGTGAGAAGGAGGTTCAAGAGGCTGAGGCAGCCGTTGTGGAGTCTGCATATGCTGAAGCAGATTAGGTTTATGTTTGAATAAGATTGTAGGGCTGCTGTTGCTTAAATTGTTTGCTTGGCGAAACTTTAGGTTGTTTTCCGAGGTTTTATTGTTCCTAGTAATCAACTTTCCAATGTTTGTGATGGGTGGATGCATGGGGGATTTGATGAAGCGCTTAGGTTGATCATGTTCGTTAATCTTCTTATGAAATGTTGTTTTCTTTCATCAACGTCTTGAATTGCAAGAAATCTGCTAGTTTCTGGGATATAAAGGCGATATGTACCTACATATCTATTATGCTGAAGCAGATTAAGATGATCTTTTGGTAAGATTATTGGGTTGTTATCGTCAAGTTTAAATTGCTTGGTTGTATCTGAAAATAATAATAAATAAATAAATAATAAAAAGACATAAAATAAATAAATAAATAAAATACATTGGACGATGATCATATAATCTCCCAGGTGTTATCTGATAATCGTCCAAAGTTAAGGATGGTTTTTCTAATATGTAGTTTTTTCTTTTCTTCGGGCACGGTCTAGAATTGCAAGAGATAGACGTCTGGGGAGGCTTATTATAATAAACTTTTTAGTCATGGTAATTTTTGATGGCCTTTGGTTTTTATAATAACAATTTAATAGAAGTTGCATGGGTAGAATAGTAATTGTTTAGTCAAACCTAACTTATTTAGATGAGCTTATAAGCTAATTTTTTAAAAGTTATAGTGTATCAGCTTTTTACCAAGTGACTTAAAAACTAGCTTATTTGGGTTATATTACTAAACTTATTACAATGTGACCTAAAACCTAACTTATTTTATGGCTTTTTTTAGCAGACATGAACTCGTTGAGCTCCGCATTAATCTCATTAATCTCACCTGAGCTACCAATGTGCACTTCTGTTTTCCAACTTGATGTTGAAAGCCAGATGGGAAGGTTTTAACTGTTAAATTGATCTTTCAACATTGAGATATACATGGAAAACTGAAGGTTAGTAACTGCAAAAAAATTAAAAGACAAACGTATACAGAAGTAATTTTTTTAAGGGTTTCTTGTATTATATTTAGTATCTTTTGGATGGATACTTGTGTTAACTGGATCACTGGTCCCTTTATTTATCTCATATAATTAGACATTTATATATATGTTTTAATTGTTTGGATAACTGATTACGAATTTTAAAAATTCTAAACAGATCATTAATCACATCTAATGATCTTCACCAATTAACATAACAAATTCTCATTGATGTGATATAAAAAAATCTTGATCATTTGACATAATGCATTTATTCCTATGTGTAATATCTTGAGCACTTATATAAATGGAATTTGTGACTATCAAGCAACTTGTGTTTGGTAATTATATTACATTTATCATTTTGTTCTTGAAAACTTTAACTTGTGATATATTGAGTAAACTATATTGCTTAGCAATAAATGAAATATGCAACTCAAACTGACATAAAATATTGGAAGTAATTAATGATCCAAGTAAATTTAATTGACATGCACTGCGTCCATGAAGGAGAGGTAAAAACACACCACACCACCACACACACACACAACACAACAGCCCACACCCAACACAAGCACCGACAGGCACATATATAATATATATATATATTATATATATATATATATATATATATATATAATATATATATATATATATATATATATATATATATATATATAATATATATATATAGTATATGAGTGAGCTGGCAGCCGTAGGAAATTTCCTCGCTGGCAAGTGTATGACATGTGAGCCCCCTACTAGTCACATCGGTGTGGGGCTCACATGTCATACACTTTGTAGCGTAGAAAATTTCCTACGGCTGCAGCTCACCTCGTTTTCTTTATATATATAATATATAGACGTATATTATATACGTATATATATATATATAGATAATAATATATATATATATATATATATATAATATATGAGAAAACGGGAGGTGAGGCTGGCAGCGTAGGAAATTTCCTAGCGGCTGCAAGTGTATGCTGTGAGCCCCAACACCGATGTGACTAAGTAGGGGGGCTCACATGTCATACACTTGCAGCGTAGAAATTTCCTACGCTGCCAGCTCACCTCGCGCGTTTTCTCTCTCTCTCTCTCTCTCTATATATATATATATATATATATATATATATAAATATATATATATTATATATATATATATATATAGTATATATTAATATAGTATATATATATATATTATATATATATGTGGTATTATATACATACATATATGCTATACTACTAGTTTTTATGGCACGGTGGCAATTGCACGTGGTCAAAATTTTATAATTGTTGATTTTTAGTTTATGTATTTATTGTAACATAGTTGAAAAAGTTTATTATTATCATAATATATTAAAAGTTTCAGATATTTAATATATAAATCTTGTTGGTTTCAACATTTTACCTTCACATAATTAGTGAGGTTTTGAAGTCTTAAAATATGAATGATCTAAAGAGCAATTTGATGATTTCGAATTTTATTTTAAATATTATGATGATTAAGCACCAATATCTAAATAACTATTATTATTAAAATATATATATCTTAGATTCATCAACGCTAAAATGATAGGTTTTTCTGGTCATAGAGGATTTTGTTTAATTATAAAGAAATACACTTGCGTCCTATTGTCTACTTCCACTTTCTATTATCTGGTGACCGAGTATTATAGATATTCAAAAATTTTTTATGAAATTTTCAAAAGTTAAGAATGTGCAAATTCAATCAAGAAAGAAAATATAAATTATGTGATCAATTCCAAAATATGATATTATAACATTCCTACATCTTCTCAAAAATAATTTGTCAAAAAGATTACTCTATAATTTTAGAAAACTATAAAATATAATTTGAGAATGATTTAAACATATTTTGTACACATGTATTGTATTTTAAGAAAATAATATAGATCTATCCAATATTTAATAATATCCAAAAATTTAAGCTAAAGAGTTAAAAGAATCTAATAACACTCATATCCAAACTGTATGCTTCATAAATGTGAGACATATAAAATAAATAACTTAATTTATTTGTTAAATAATTTATTACAAATCATAAAAGATAAGGAGAACCATAAGGATCACATAGCCAAATAAAGATTAAATATCTCTCTGTGAAATTTGTAGCAAAAAATTTTCAGATATACTGATAGACTTGCTATAAAATCCACTCTTATAAGATTGATGTCACATGTGTCTTAAATTATGCTTTGTTTAAGGGTTATTTTTAGAAAACTTCCCCTCAACTATGGGGAAATGTTAAATCCCCCCCCCCCCCCCCCTCAACTACTTGAAATGAGTAAATGTTTGTTTATCAAATTTGGGGTGTTATAGTTGATCTATCTCAACTTCAAAATTTTGATTTAACCTTATAAACTTTTCTCAATTAACCCCTCAAAACTAATAACATTGAGCGGAATTCATTATGTGATAAGTACTTGAGTTGAAAAGACCAAAATATCCGTCAACCATAAAAGAATTAGCTTGGTTTTTTTTCTAGATGAAAGAAAAAGTGAAGATTTAGAGGTAAAAAGAATTATAAATTAGTTGTAATCCTTTTATTATCGGTTGAGAGTTTCTTTTAACTAAAATGGATTTCTTTAATAGGGCATTTTGACAAAATCACTTATTAAAGTCTTTTACATTAAGGGGATTTGTTAAGAGATGTGCAAAAGACCAGGAGAGTTTTTATAAGACACGCTAAGTCGAAGGGTGTTTTCTAAAATCGCACCAAAGTTGAGAATGTTTATCTACAATATCTCTATAGTTAGGAAGCTCTGTCAAATTAGTTAAGTGGTTTTTTGAGATATTCCCCATACTTGAGAGAGTTTTCAAAGAATTAACTATTCTTTTAAATTTAGCTTAAATATTTTATAATTCTATATTATTACCTAAATTATAAGCAATTTCAAAATTTTAAGGGAATAATGTAGAATTGTTAGAGATTTAAAATCAATGAAATGATATCTAAATTACCTTTAAATATTGCTCTTATAGGCAATATATGAAACATTGGCCTATATATCGCTCTATCGACTGATTTAAAAGGTTAAATACTTTATCTTAATAATATTTATGGTTTTATATTATTTTCTTTTATTTAGATATTTTTTCCCATATATCGATCATTATCGAAAATATTGGCTGGTATAACAAAATCGAGTCATTTTTAATTTGATTGTAAGCTTGGTATTATGTTGTGTTTGGAAACCAAAACTAAAGCACAAGTCACAAAAGTCACAATTCATATCCCAATCTCTCTACTTTCAGCTCTCCCAAATCTCAAGCACATATATTAACGCAAATTCTTATGTTGAATATTCATCAATATCTAAGATTATAGATTAAAATGTTGTATTTTGTATGAGCATTATCTCATATGACACCCAGATATTTTTTACATAACACCGATTATTGCAACCCAATATCATGGATTTTATTTGTCTAACATTTATATGATGCCCAACACTTTATAGTAGTCCTTCGAAAGCCTTTTCTAAAGTTTTCTAAGCAAAGTATATAAATTCAGAAATAATTCAAAATCTTAAGATTATTCAAAATATGATGCTTTAATTTTCCCATATTTCCTCTAGTATATAAATATAAGCTAACCCTTTGGCCTCATATTATATGATGAATATTATTTATCAAAGGGATCACATATTATTGCTTGTGGTTAACAAAGGCTGTAAATCTTTATTGGCTTAATTAAATTACATACCTTACAGTTTATAAAAGTTTCAATTACAAACCTCCATTTGTATCTTGTTGCACTTAAATATCCTAATGTTTTTAAAATTGCATGTCTGTACCTTTTATACGCAAGAATACTATTTGTAATTTTCCTATATGAATATAATGATATGAGTTTAGGACAATTCTATATTTTCTACTCTTTCCATTAATAATTTATTAACATGCAATTGTCTATTGATATATTATTAGGCGTTACTAATAATTAATATGAGAGTTTCACAATCACATTAGAAGTTTTAGGGACCAAGTTAGACAAACTTGAAGTGGCATATAATATGATTAATTAATAATAATGATTAATTTAGTTTAGTTAGGATTAAAATATAATATTTAAAAAATAGGGGTAATATAGTCCTTAGAAAGTTTTTTCTACAACTTCCTCTTTTAAAGGGAGTATGATATGATTCTAAGTGAAGTATATAATTTCATTTATAATTCAAAATCTTGAAACTTATTCAAAATATGATGCTAAAAATTTTCCACATCTTCTGTACTATATAAATATAAGCTAAACCTCTGGCCTCATATTATACGATGTATATTATTTATCAAAAGAATCACATACTATTGTTTGTGTTTAACAAAGGCTTCAAATCTTTATAGTCTTAATTAAACATAAATAGCTTACAACTTACGAAAGTTACATGCATATACCTCCACTTATATCTTAGTGCACTTAGATCTTCTAATATTTTCTAAAATTGGATGTTTGTACTTATGTACGTAAGAATACTCTTTATAATTTTCCTATGTGAGTGCCACGATATAATTTTAGGACAATTCTATATTTTGTACTCATTCCAAAATAATTTATTAACTTGCAATTGTCTATCAATATAGTATTATGCATTATTAATAATTAATATGAGAGTTTTACAATAACATTGGAAGTTTTAGAGCCAAGTTAGACAAAATTGAAGTGGCATGTAATATGATTAATTAATAATGATAATTAATTTAGTTAATTTATGATTAGAATATAATAACAAAAAAGAATAGGGGCAATATAGTCCATAAAAAGTTTTTTCACAACTCCCTCTTTTAAAGGGAGTATGATCTAGAGTCTTAGAACTTGTTTGCTTTCTTTTTAATTTTAATTTAAACGAACTAACGAGTACGCGGAGTGAGTTATATCTCAAAAAACAAAGGAGATTATCTCTGGGGTTTTTGATATTTAATTTGAAAGATAAAGATAATGATAATGATAATTTCCGTTATTGCCATTTTCTTTAAAAAATAATTAAAGAAAGACCAATTTAGGAGCACCGACGCCCTCGTTTCTCTTATAAAAAGGGCTGAAAGCTTACGATACTTCGCAGTTTTCAGCAATCATGGCCAATTTCAGCTCCAAGATTTTGCTCTCTCTGATGATCATCGTCACCCTCTTCTCTTTTCTTCTTCATGCGTCAAGAACTCTAGACCCAGGAAATTCAGGTAATTAACCCTGTGTTTTAGTTTTGATTTTAATTTTTTAACTTTTTTTTAGTTGATGATGTATGACTTAGGTTTCGAGTTGTTCTTAATTTGTTCATTGTAGATTTCATATGGATTTGAGAAGTTGGAAGAGTGATATTGATTTCACATATAAATTTTTTATTGCAGTACTACATGTGATAATTAAAATGGTTTGTTTTTTTTTTCCTTTTTTTCTCTTTTTTTTTTGATGAAAATTGTTTTTTTTTTTTTTGTTATGTATGCTTCAACCTTTCTCTTTCTTTGGTTGTTTGGTTTTATTTGATTTGTTGGGTTGATGAGATTTCTGGGTTTTATTTGTTCTTATGAGTAATATATTTGATATGGGCTTGCATGAAAACTTAAGACGCGGTTCATATGATAATTCCCTTGGTTGTGCTTTCTTTCCAATTTATTTTTCTACTTCTTGTTTATAAGATTAAAAACAACAGTCATGAGAAGGGTTATGTCAAAAAAAATTCAAAAAAAAAGTTACGGGAAGATACCAAGAGGACCAAAAACTTAGATATTTAAGTTTTTTTTTAATTGGTCTAAAGTGATCGATATATGGTTAGATTCCCATATAAAAAAATAAAAATAAAAATAGTGAGGTATACATGAGTGGGAATTCTATCAGAACCCTATATAATTGAATAAACTAATTGAATAAACTTCAGCATTCACCGGTTGTTAGAAAATTAGTTTGGATATTGTGTTTATTCTATTAATAGAGTAAATTGCTCCACTGCGCCTATGAGGATGATTCTGATAAGATTTTTGATTTACTATGGGTTTACTATAATAATAGTGTCGTATATACATTGTGATAATACTTTTTTTTGGTTTTGTTTGATAACTACATTGTGGTAATACCTTTGCTATAGTTTTGTCGCATATATATATAATCGAAATCTCATATTTTGACGATTGTGATAATATAAACATAAATGAGGTTATAATTTGACAATTGTATTCTTGTTTATACACTACTTCAGTGGTAGGTTATAAAAAGAACTCAAATATTTGTCTTGATAATAATATTCAGCATCAGAGATCAACTATTAAGATCCTCTTCTTGTCCCGAAAATAATCTTCAATATCAGACATCAACACTGTTAATACCCCTCGTTCACATCACGATGCTTCTTTAGGGCTTTATCTTTTTATATTTTTTTCTCTTTAGGGCATATTTATTTATTTGGTTAAATTTGAAAATTTATCACATCATTATTTTTCCTTTGGGTTATTAGATATTAGTCCCTCAACTCTTCAATAATTCATTAGTCCCTCACATCTTAGAAATTGCTCATTAGTTTCTCGAATCCTAGGGTTATTGCAATTTGGTCACTCGATGATCAAAATATTCTTAGCTAATATCTTTTTGAAGGGTTATTTGCAATTTGACACTCCAAAGTTATACACCTTTTCAAATGTTGATACTCCAAAAAAAAAATTGGCACTTTCACATCCAATTGTTTATACCTTTCGAGATTTGATACACCAAAGTTTTATTCTTGATACCTTGACACCCCAAAGTCGATCTACACATTTTTTAACTTTGATATATCAAAGATTCCATATTTTCTAATATGTGATACCTCAAAGTTTACACATTTTTCAACTTGGATGCAATAAAATTAGGGTGGCACTAGGGGCACACCACCAACCACAACTCCAACCACACCCTCTCTTATTTGCTACAGTGCACCAGGCCCCATATGGGATTTTAAAATTTTAAAATCTCATGTGGGGCCTGATGCACTGTAGCAAATGAGAGAGAGGGTGTGGTTGGAGTTGTGGTTGGGGGTGTGCCCCTATTATTTTCCATAAAATTAGGGGTATCAAAGTGCCAAAAACAAAACTATAGAGTAGCAAAGTTAAAAAATATGAAATCTTTGGGGTGCCAAGGTGTCAAAAATAAAAGTTACGAGTATCAAAATTAAAAAGGTATAAACTTTACAGTGTCAAAGTATCAAAAAACTTCAGTATTAAAGTTAATAAACTTTAGAGTATCAAAGTACAAATAACTTTTTGAAGAGTATAGATTTTATAAGAGAGGACTAAAGGGTATTTTGGTCATTGAGGGGCCAAATTGCAAGATAACTTACGATTTGAACGACTGGCTGCAATTATTGAGAGTTGAGGGGCTAATATGAAATTGTAGAAGATTTGAGGGACTAATATCTAAACGAGCCTTTTCCTTTTGAATATTCCCTTATGTAGATTGAATTCCACTCTATATATTTCTGGCACAAATTTCAGCAAAATCCTCTAGTTTTTGAGGAATTTTGATTTTAACGAATTACGCAACACGAAGCCATTTTCATACTCTGAGCGTTTTTTCATAAAACCCCCAATACCGTTGGAACTTACACTAAACTACCAATAATTTTTTCATAAAAAACCCCCAAACTTACAACAGGCCACGAACAGGCCGTCAAAAGAAGAGCACACATCTCCTCAAAACGGCCTACATGCGAGCGGGTCATCTAAGCAGCACATGCATGGAGGGCGTGAAGAGACAAAAATGCCCCCTACCTATCACACGAGCGGCTCAGACGATCCGCTCGCATGCAATTGTTCTGAGGAGATGCGCACTCTTTAAAGAACAAAACAACCTCCATATATACATGTTCTTTTTTCTTTATCCAAAATAAAAATAAAAATTTGTAACTGTAGGCTCTACAATTTGACAACACTCCAAACTTAATAATCCCTTGGATACTCATCCTTTCCGTCTTCACTCGCAGAGAAAGCAACGGCGCCTGCAGGTCGTGGCGGAGGTGCAGGCATATCCAGGTTTTCTGTGCCTTTCGTCGGCGGAGATGAAGAGGGATATCCTTCTAGCATCTACATCGGAGGCGGTGGAAGCGCGAGCGGTACTTATACGCCTAGTGCAGCAAGCAGAGACTGCTACTCTTGCCTTGCGATTCTGACGCTCGTGGCTTCAGCGTTGATATTCATTTAGCATTAATTTGCTACGTATATGATCACTTAATTAGGTTGTTACAGGTTTTGAAGAACAGATACTGTTTTGGGATTTGATGGCTAGTTTTCGCTTGCTTTGATTATTTTCATTGGGATTCTGTCTGCAGTGTGGATGGTATATACTGGATTGGATTTGGACTTTGATTTTTCAGGTCACGCTAGCTGCTGACATTTTGCGATCTTATTTGTGATGGTTAGAAATCTATACTAATGTATAATGAACATACGTAGTAGGATGTTAACCCCCGATAACTTTTGGTAGAAAAAACCCCCAATAACTTTTGGTAGAAAAACCATCACAATGATTTACTATTTTCAAGGTTCTATGTAATTTTTAGATTCATCAAGTGTTTTTTTCTATTTTTTAGATTTAAAAGGGTGTTATTTGTAATTTTTAGTTTTTAAGGGGAGCTATTTATAATATTCAATTATTTTTGGTAGTTACTTTGTATTTTTTTAATTTTTTATAGTTTTCTTGCAATTTTTACATTTTTAAAGGTCTTTTAGCAATTTTAGATTTTTTGAGACATTGTTTGTAATTTCATATTTTTAAGGGATCTGCTTGTAGTTTAAGAAGCTTTAAGGAGTTACCTATAATTTTTATAATTTAAAGGTGTTCTTGTGAGTTTTGAATTTTTCAAGGAGTTGTTTATAGTTTCATATTTTTCAGGGGGCTAATTATAAGGTTTGTATTTTTAGTAGTTGTTTGTAATTATAGTTTACAAATAGGAATCATTTGAGAGGTATATATTGGCGGGATAACGTTGGTCAGTGTAGAATTATGGAGTGATGCCATTTTGGGATTAAGCGTAAAAAATCAAAATGTTTTGGTGGTTTGCTAAAATTCTGAAACTAATGGAGGTTTTTAGAGAATTTATAGCCTTGCCAAATGACTAAACTTGTTTTAAGTTTACTGAAATTTATCTTTTAAAAACTAAGGAGATCCGGTGATAATTTTTTGAAATGTAAACCAAATAGTAAATCATTAATCCCTCCTTTATATATAAAAGAAAAAAGATTTAAAAATGTGTATTATTGTGAATAATTAAAGAGAAATAAAAATATAATTATTTAATTTTTAATTATGGATAATTATGATTTAATTAAGTTTATCAAATATTGATTATAATTAGAATTTCTAATTATAGATAGATTCAATTTGATGAGGATTCTTATTATGGAAAACACTTATCATATAAGAATTATAATTTAATTTTAAAATAAGAAATGAACATGTGTCATTGTGTTTATGCAATTAAGTGTACCTTATTTGATGCATTTAGGAAGTACCCACAATTTTTTATAAAATGGATTTCCATAACAATTTAGTAAAAAAACACTTAAGATCAAGATTCGGAAAAAAATGTAATGACCCCCCCCCCACCCCACCCCCCCCCCCCCCAAAAAAAAATACAACAAAATGCTCTTAAGTTTTGGATTCTTTGCAAACCCCCTTTGACTTTAATCATTTCTTAAGAGCCCCTTAACAGTGTTACCCACAATTTATTATTATTTTGGGGTGTTAAAATGATGCAGAGGCTAGATTCGTCCAGTAAAAATCGTGCGTAACATGGCTAGGAATTGTTTGAAAAACGCTTAAATTAGTTTAAGGTCTTTTTCGAGAATCACAAGGGAGTTTTTTGTCATTTTTAAAGTTAAGGGAGTTCTCTGAGAAAAGGCAAAGTTGAGGGGTTTCTACACTAATATTGTTATACCAAACCATAAAAGTAAAACCAGTTTGGTAGGTGATTGCAATTACGTAGAAGAGTCCCAAAGGATGATTCGTAGTCGGTTTCTGTTATGTATCCTTCCTCCATTGGGGTTCCAACCTCGTCTCATCTTATAAAAAGGGCTGAAAGCTTACAATACTACGCAGTAATTTTAGCAACATTGGCCAATTCTTGTATCAAGTGTTTGAGAATATGTCTTTGATTTTTTGTATAACTTCATGAGTGTTAGATAGGGTTAGAGATTTGTCATGATTAGTAGATTGAGTCTTGTTATAGGGTGTTCCTTGTTACTTACAAATATGCTATCCCGAGAATAGACCCAGTCGAGCCGGTGTCACTCCCCAAAGACGACTCGAAAAGTGGACTCGGTCGGGCGAAAGATTGCTGCTCAACAACCGGCCGACACTTCCCCCAAGGGCGACTCAGAACATTACTTCTCAGCATTGGTTTACCATTTATGGTCATCATTACGACTCCACGTCACCCGCTGACAAGCCTCACAGAAGTGACTCCACATCACCCGCTGACAAGCCTCAATGGCTGCTGATTCCCCATGTCGCTGAAGTGACCCGTCATCACTCATCAATCGACACGAATAGGGCAGAGGATGACTCAGCCTCTAGCTCACCCCTCGCCATCATCATGAGCCGCCTCCTCACTAAATACCGGTTCTGCCCTTGGCATCCTCTATAAAGACAGACACTATTCATCCTGAAAAGAGGTTCTATCTCTCCCTCACTATCTAAAAAAATTCTTTAGTCACATATTAGAAGGAGATACTATTCCTCTATTACTGGACCCAAGTCCACCAGCTGACTTGATCGTCTGACGTACCACGAGGGAAACAAGCCACGTACTCCCGCGATTCTTGTGTGTGCAGGTGATCCGCCCACCCCGAGCTCTAAGAACCAGACATAAAGTCGAAGAAGGAAAGCGGCCATCCATCCCTCTCGACAATCCAATCTCTCGTCGATCCAGCAACTCTGCAACCCCCATCGACTGTTTGTTCACGAGCATCAACAAGTCTCATCATGATTAGAAGTTTGAATCCTATTCTAATTAGGAAGTTAGGCTAAAGATAGAGTTTTTGTTTTCCTATATATATTATTCTATTGTTAGAGGAAAAACCAAACAGAGAAGAGAGAGCCAATATTCTTGTAATCTAGTGTTAGCAGAGGACGTAGCCTAATTCAAGAATATTATGCGAGATGCGAGGGTTTCGTAGTCTTTATCCGTGCAAAAGATTACATTATTAGGAGAGGGTTTCGTAGTTTTTGTCCGTGCAAAAGATTACATCATTGGGAGAGGGTTTCGCAGTCTTTGTCCGTTCAAAAGATTGTAAGGAGAGGGCTTTGAAGATAATATGAGAGTTGATTATGTATGTGAGGTTGAGAGATTGAGAGACAAGAGTTGAGTTGTTCATCTTGTAGTTCTCCCTGATACATAGTAGATTTCTCGTATTGTTGCTCGTGGACGTAGGTCGAAATTGGTCGACTGAACCACGTAAATCTCGGTATTCTTTTTTCTTGATTGTGGTTATTTTATATTTTATTGATTGTCGGTTGGCTTCCAAGTTGCGCAAATCGTAATACGCGGGGGGACTAAAATTCCCCAACGTCAAGATCTTTCTACCTTTTATCATCCTCTCCCCCTTCTTTTCTCTTGTTCATGGCGTCCAAGGCGCTGCTTGAGCCGGTAGATTCAGGTAACCCCGTGCTTTGATTTTTTTTTTTTTTTTGTGGTGGTGGGGGGGTGGGGTGGGGTGGGGTGGGGGTGGGGTGGGGGGGTTGATTACTTTGATTTTGTTTTGTTTTGTTAGTTGAGTTGATGATGTATTTAGGTTTTGAGTAGTTCCTTGTTTGCTATAGAATTGATATATGGGTTTGAGAAGTTGGGGGACTGATATTGATTTCACATATAATTGTAGTACTACTGATACTGTTAATTAAGACGGTTGTTTTGTTTTTTATAGTTATGCAACAAAAACTAAAAAAAGTTCTTGGGTAATTTGGTTTTATTTGATTTGTGTTGATGAGAATTCTGGGTTTTGAGTTGTTCTTTATGAGTAGTATATTTGATAGAGGTTTACAAGATCATTTAGATTATTTCAGGTACCATATTTATCTGATAATTCATTTGGTTGCTCCCTTTCTTAATTTCTTTTTTTTAATCTAATTTTTGTTCTTATTAAAAAAAGATAAAAACAACAATCATGAGAAGAGTTATCTCAATAAAATAAACCAGCCCAGCGGAGGGAAACAGAATAGTTCCAAATTTTGTCAACTTTCCAGCTTTAAATACTGTAGTTTTTGCTTGGGATTTGTTTGCAATGTGAGTACTGGAATTGAATTTGGTCATCTTTCCACTTTTAATTAATCATCCAAACGAAGATTTGCAAATAAAAAGTAGGACAAATTTTCAAAACCGACCCCTTTGGATTTTTAATTGCAAAAAACGACCTATTTCAGTTTTATTTATAAAAACCGACCCAGTTGGTTGAAACTGGGTCGGTTTTTGAAATTTTTTCTTCCAAACTTCACGGGAGTTCAACTCCCGTGAAGTTTTGTTATGAGAAAAACTTCACGGGAGTTCAACTCCCGTGAAGTTTCCCAAAAAAATTTAAAAAAACCGACCTGTTTTCAGCTAAATAGGTCGGTTTTTGTAAATATTTTCAAAACCGGTCGTTTTTTGCAATTAAAAACCCAAAAGGGTCGGTTTTGAAAATTTGTCCATAAAAAGTACTTTATCTAAATTTTCACTTCCCGACTATTTTCTGATCATCCAATACGCAGGAGAAGAAGACAACGGGGTGAAAAAATTCATAGAGGAATCACTATATGTATATACGATACAAACATGTCAGGTTCCTTCTTATTCATAAATAGTATAAGTGTCTTCATCGAGATTCAAGGCTTAGCTTCATATTACGTTCCGCCTACTTATTAGGAGCTTTTTTGTTGCGGGATGTTATCTATTCCTCTATAATTATGGAAGGATACAATATTCACTATTCATGCTACAGTAAATACTATGGTAAAATACTGTAACATTGTTATTGTAGCACAGACAGGATGATCCAAGGTTCACTATTCACTGTAGCGTTTAAAAACATCACTGTGGCATTTATTCCTGTAGCTCAGACGGAATACTGTGGCAGTTATTTAATTTGATGAAGGTTCACTGTTCCGTGTAAGAGCAAGGGCAGCAACCTCTGAAGGAGCCTCTCAAGGCTGACGTGGCCGTGGAGCTTGGCAGCCCTCCCTCCAGCAAACTCCCAACGCCTCCCAAGCCCCTCTCCTAAGGCTGAGCTGGCGTTGGGGAGCTTCCGAACTCCCAAGCGCTCCACAAATTTGTGGAGCGCTTGGGAGCTCCCAACTACAGCAGAATTTTACAAAAACCCCCCTTTAACAAAAACCCTTACCAGCGATGATGTCGAGGGTT